ATTTGCTAAGCAGTTAGCTGCCGTGACTGAGCAGCCCATCCAGAATGGCTTTGAAGAGATGATCCAGTGGACTAAAGAGGGGAAGCTGTGGGAGTTCCCAATTAACAACGAAGCAGGTAAGCTGCAGAGGCTCCTGAGGTTCGTGTCACAGACTCAGGCCCGGCTCCTCTTCAGCCTTGAAATGTAGATCATACAAGGAATTTCCAAACTTTCTGTCAACATTTTTGTTATGTTGTAAAAGAAATCTTGACAAAAAACTTAACAAGAATGTAAGAATTCTATCTTATTCTTGATATTTGATAAGGAAGATGAAATAAAACTGTATCGCAGAAACGCACCATGCATTTCTATGAGGTGACTGGGAGAACTGCAAATGCTGTCAGTTTCTGGTTGCCCTGTTGGAGTTTTCTGGTGCATCATTTAATCCAATACGGAAGTAATGGGATTATGATGCTTTAGTTTTATCTTGATATCTTTTATTCATAAAACCATTAATGAGGTACAGATTATTAAGCTAATTGAAGGAAAAAACATGTAAGATTTAGGGAGTTCTTTTGAAACTTTTGTAAAGCTAATAATCTTAAAATTTCTAGGATTTATATTGCATGAAATGAAGTATTTGAAATTTTTCCTCTAAGTATATAATTTCTTTTACTAAAACTGATACTTGCTTTAGGATATACATATTATAGAAAATTTTAGAAATTCCAGAAGTTGGAAAAGAAATTTGTAAACTCACTATACTGCACAAACTCCTTACGTCTAATAGTTCCTTCTTATATATGTGTTTTAATTCATTTGTAATTGCTGTTCCATTTTAAACATTTACAGTATACCAAGTATTGTACGTTTTATATGGAGTTTCACATGGAGAATGGAGTCCATAATAGATACTCATTTGACGTATCTAAGTCATCTTTATAAAGCCTGATAAGAAAGGTTTCATTTTTATCTTCATTGTATTTTTTAGGAAACTGACAGTCAGAGAAGGTAATTAATTTGTGCAGAGGCGCCTAATTATTAACATCAAAGAGCAAATCTGTATAATACAATGTTGTCGTTTTTGTGTACTTTCGAGTTGGAACTGATCCATAGCTGATCTTCCAGTGGGTTTTCAGAGGCAGTTAGTTAATTGCACAAGAGGGGTGTGCCCAGCCTTCTGCAGTGCAGCTGGTGGATTTGAACCATGTACTTTTGGAATTGCAGCACAGCTTCTTGCCACTAGGCCACCAGTGGTCCCTATAATACAGTATTACTTCATTAATTCTTGTTTCATGTTCTAGGTTTTTTAACAGTAAAAATGATAATGTTTTGTCTCATTTCCTAGGTTTTGATGATGATGGTTCAGAATTTCATGAACATATATTTCTGGATAAACATTTGGAGGATTTTCCCAAAAAAGGACCAATTCGCCACTTCA